TCTCTCTCTCTCTCGTCGTTCTCTCTCTCGTTCTAATCTTCCCCTCCCTCCCCCCCTTCTTCCCCCCACCACCCTTCCCTCCCTCTTTTTTTTTTTTTATGTTCAGATGCTTTGCTATTTCCTACACACTGCCAGGATTTCTTATGAAGTGTAACGATAATAGTCGTGACTTGTAGAGCTGTATTGTATTGATAAATCTTGTTTGCGTTTTTTTAATTGTTTTTTCTGTTTTTGCATTGCGCTTTTGTGTGTGAACGGATTGTGTCCGAGTTTTTTGTGTGTGCATATCGGTATGCGTGTCAGTGTGTATGTGTCTTTGTATGTGCACATTCATCCGTACCGGTATGTATTTGTCATTGCATTAACAATGCGCATCTGTGCATTTTCAAAAGATGGTCAAACTATCATTTCCGAGAAGGTTCTTTGCGCACTCAGTGAGTGTGTCCACTTGAACTGGATTTGATGGATCTTGATCATTTTTTTAGTTTACACAGATTGTGTTGTTTCATGTAACAGTTGGATGATTCAGAAATCATGCTATTGAGCTCCCCCCCATGCTAGGTAGGGGATGCGGTAGCATAGAGTCTGGGTCAATTAACTGTTATGCATTTCCATCATATGCATATTTACCGTAGTAGCATATGCATTATATTTATGCATTTTTATTCAATATTTGGTTCACCATATCCATCATTACGATTTCATCTATGCATAACATCTTACAGAATAGACAGTCATGCGTTCACAGTAACATCATTTCGGCAACACATGTTTATGTTTGATCCATACAATATAGGTTCAGTCGAGGCAAACTACAAAATGAGAACGAATGTGGCAAATTGCCGAGGCAAATTCATACAGTAGCAGTCAATCACTTACCACAACTATCGTTCACTACATTTATTATTATTATTTTCTAGGTTGAAAAAAAAATGTACATGACGATCGTAATAGGTTGCTTCGCAACCCAAAAAGTATGTTTCTGCCACTCATGGTAAAACTTGGTTCACGCGAATACGTGGACTAAACATGACATACTCCAGCTAAATAATAAGTCATGTCAAAAACAGCTCAGTGACTTGAGGTCCCAACCTCAATACCGTAAGCCCCCGGATAGAAGCGCAGGCCTCGGATAAGCGCCGGCGCTTATAAAAGGATGAGGGCGCTTATATCCGCTCCTCGATTATAAGCGCACCCTTGGAGCCTTACGGATTATAAGCGCACCCCTAGTACCGTACATATTATAAGCGCCCCCGTTTTCATAACTGCATTTCTAATTTTGAACTATTACAATTTATATCCTACTTCTATTCAACAATTTCTTAACCTATTCTACTACAATTTTGCATGTTCTACATTTTCTACCACATTTTCAATGTCTACACATTTCTACTCTACCTACACAACCTAGACATCCTCCTCAGCAGTGGCGGTGCCCTCCTGGGCGGTCTCACCATCCGACTCTGGCTCGTCTACGTTGTTGCAGCAGAATCCATCTGCTGCAATCTCGTCGTCAAGTTCCACTTCGCCCTTGACGGCGTCCCGCCGGTGCTGCAGGCAGAGATTGTCCTGCGACCCGTCCAAGGCGTTACTGATGCCGCAAGTGAGAAACGTGCGCGCAATCAACTCCTTGGGCACCGACTTCCAGGCCTTGGAGATCCACTTCAGCGTCAGCTCGGGTGGTGGCTTGCGGATGTTCCCTGCCACACGTATCAACATCCGTCAGTTAAAACAAGCTCAATTAAAAGAAAAACAATCAGGTTTATAATTTTAATCTCACCTCTTTCGGTCAGGCAGTCAACACCCTCGCTCTCGAACCATGCCTGGTACTGCTGTCGCACTGCTGCTTTGAAGGAGCGGTTCTCCGCGACGTCAAGGGGCTGCACCTCCGATGTGCAGCCAGCTGGTATGACGGCCGGCACGATACGCAGCTCGCCGAACTTGGCACGCACTTGATCAGTCAGGTGCCCGCGGTAGGAGTCAAGCACCAGCATCGCCCTCCTGCCGCGCACTCTGAACCTCGGGTTGACGTACGGGCCCACCGTACCGTCGAGCCACGCGAGGACGCCATCCGCGTCCATCCAACCATTGGGATGGGCGGAGACCACGACATCTGCACATCCGCACAACGTGGAGAAGGGCATTAGTTGCTAAAAAAAAAAACACATGCAAAAACGACCGGGAGAGCACAAGCTTAAAGGCTTACCGGAGGGGAAATTCCCCTTTGGAACTGTCTTGCGCTTAAAGAAAACCCAAGGTTTGAGCTTCTCGCCGTCGGCGGTGCAGGCGAGCATCACCGTCACGCGCTCCTTTTGATAGCCGCCGCTGCGGATGGGCACGGAGCGCACCCCCACCTCCTCGACCGTGCGTTCAGCTAGCATTTCGAGCCACAGCGGGGTCTGATCTGCATTAATGATCCAGCGGTTGTCGATGCCGTACTGTCGGCGGGTGTGTCGCACGAACTTCCAGAAGTTCCGCACCTGCAACTCGCACTCTGGAAGGCACGGGGAGGCAGAAACAATAAAACAAATAAGCACATGGAACGGTGGGCAAAAGGGACAAACAGAAGCGTCAACAACAACACCGACTCACCGGAGGAAAGTTTCTGGCCAACACGAGTCTTCGCTCGGGTGGTGAGATTCCAGCGGCGCCGAAAACGCTCGGTCCACCTCTGGGATCCAGCCCACTTTACCTCAGGATGCAGACTCTTCATCACCTCTCGCGACCACTGCTGCAGGCGGCCGACCGACACTACGAGGCACTTTTTACGGGCGGCAAGTACTCGTAAGTAGACCTGGATCTCCATGTCGCGGTACCACGATGACCGACCACGCCCGTGAAGACGCTTGCGAGCCCCATGCGCGCCCTCCAGCTCATCCTTCCGCGATTTCCATTCCGCCAAGGATTTTCGGGAGATACCAGTGTCGCGCGCCATCTTCCGCACACTGACAGCACCGGACTCCAGCTGAGAAATCCAGTGTAGCTTCTCCTGAGAAGTGTAGGAGTGGCGCTTGTGCGTTGAGCGCCTGCCCCTGGGAGACGGGGGGCGGGCATCACGATTCTGGGTGGAGGGGTGGGGCCTTTTTTTGTTGGGCGGGGGAAAACTTGGGACAGGCAAGTCCTCGGGAAGACCGTCGGCCGCCCACCACTCAACGTCGTCTTCGGCACCGGTGGCGGACTCGTCGTGCGGGCAGTCTTCCGGGTCTCCCCAGCGTGGCGAAAGACCGGGACCGGTTTCATCTTCGTCGCTGCGCTCGGGCTCGGGCTCGGGCGCGGGCTGGGGCTCGGGCTCGGGCTCGGAGATGTAAGCGTCGAAAGCCGAGCAGTCGGGAGGGAGAAGCTGCAGAACGGGCACACCGTTGATGACGACGTTAGGAGGAGCGGGAGGAGCAGGAGGCGCAGGAGGAGCAGGAGGCGCAGGAGGAGCAGGAGGCGCAGGAGGAGAAGGAGGTACGGGAGCTGGGCGACTTTGCCACTGAGTGTAATCGGGAGTCTTGGCAGCAGCACCTCGGCGGTTGAAAAGAAAATGGGTTCCTGGAAGGCCCGCCATCGCAGAGGCAGGCCGAGAGAAAACAAGAAACCTAGAAAAAACGGTGAGTGAGGGCTGTTTGAAACCCTCGCCCGAGACCCCTCCAACTTCGCGGCCCGAGTTCCTCTGCAGGGAGAGAGACTACACTGTCAAGATCTCCCCGCAGAGGAGCTGATGTGGTGAGGTGGGGGCGTTGTTGGCAAGGAATCTTGCCGCATATGCCCAGTTCGTGGTTGTTCAGCGTCGTGGTTGGCTCGGCGGTGGACCCTGATTGGGCAGTTTACTCAATGTTACGTGTGCGCTGGCATGCGTCAGATTCACGTCCGATGAATCTGGCCAGGCCAACAAGGCGTGGCTCCAGTGATGCCACGCCTTGTTGGCCATTTGACGCGTTTTTCATGCACGGATTCGAACGTTCTGGATGTGGATAGAATCCCCTTTTGACAACGCTTCATTTTCATGTAAAAAAAAAACATATTTCATATTTGCCATTTTATAGTCGCCGGCGCTTATAAAAATCCTCGATTATAAGCGCACCCCCTAAAAAACAGTGTTTTATTACAACCCCAGGGGCGCTTCTATCCGGGGGCTGACGGTAAGTAAGCGGTGCAACAACAGTGACGATGTGATTGCAATCAATGACAGCCTTAGAATTCTTGCCCATGATCCATAGAAATACTTATTATATATCATAATACTTATCTTTGTTTAATTGCATGTGTAACAAGCACAAAAATTGTTATGAATGAACTTGCAGAGTGCGCAGTAAAACGAATAACGAGAATGTTGAACTACTGAATGACGATACAATGAGAAAGGCACGACTAAATAGGGGAAATCCTAGCTAGGCGAAGAGGTAGGGCGAAGATGGCTCGGTGATGGTTGCGGTTGGTGCGGAGGCCGACTCGGGAGTGGTTCGGCCGATGAAATAGGCCGAACAGGTTCGTCGCGTGACCCTCGGGATGTACTCGCTAAAGTGTGAGTAGAGTAAGGAATTACAATTCCTTACAAAATGCTACGCAACCCTTGCGACGGGTTGAGCCTTGTCTTTGTCAACTATCGCAGTTGGTTGCATTATCAGACTTCAGATTAATCGCGTAGCTTGATTCCGGCGACGGCTTGCTGTTGTAGTCGCGTGATGGCTCGCAGTCAAGCACAAGCACGGAGACCAAAATCAAGCATCGCAACGGCAGATGATCCGAAAAGCGTCGCGACGGCAGATTCGAAAAGCGTCGCTGACGGCAAACCAGGCGATGCTTCCGGTGACGTCATCATCGCTCCGCCGCTGAACAGATGGTCGAGGCGCGTCCGCGTGGGGATTTTCGCGGCGTGCGTCCTCACTCCCGTTATAGTGGCGTTTCTCGTGATGGATCTGGATCCGTTAGAGCGACGATCCATTACAATCAACGCCGTTATGAGCGTCGCGGGATTCTTTATAACGACGAAACTCATTCCGTTGGCGGTGCCTTATATGTTGCGGAGAAACATGTTCGGATTCGATATAAACAAGCGAGGTTCCCCAGCTGGAGAAATCAAGATGTGAGTACAACGAACGGTGAGAAGCACTGATGTATCAACTCAACACTGCCCAGATGTGCAGCTTACGAGCGATGATCTCAGCCGGCAATTCCAAGTGTGATTTTAGTGATGGGGAGTGTAATGTTCCAGGTGTACCCAGGGTCGATTGGGTAGTGGTAGTGTGCATCATTCCCACTTCCACTCACCCTTTCCCTCCCTCCCCCATACTGTGGAACACAGGATCGGGTTTGGTGGTACCCACTGTGTGCTCATGGGTGGATAGGTAGGTGGTACTGTGCATTTCCTTTGTCAGCCGCGCACCCGCATGCCCTCCATGCCATGCTTGCCCCACACTCCCCAGACCCGAGACGTGAATGGTGACCCCCCCTTGTCACCTGTGCTGTGCATGTATGCCCATGCACCCCATGACCCCCATGCACCCCATCACCCCCATGGCTCCATGCAACCCCATGCCATGTGATTCCACACTACCCATAATCCCGACCCGAGGCGCAGGGACTGGTGGTGGCACTCGTGTACCTGGTGGGAGACTGGATGGGTAGGTGTAGCATTGTGACTTGCCCCCCTTGACCCATGCCTCCATGCCCCCATATCCCCATGACCCATGCCTCCATGCCCCCATCCCCCACACTCCCCAGACCCGAGACGCAGGGGCTGGTGGTGGCGCTCGTGTACCTGGTGGTAACCATCCTCTTCCAGCACTTCTACTTCACGCCTGACTCGCCTGTGAGTGCCTCCCAGGTGATTTCTCAGGTGTTTCTTCAGCTATAGCGAGCTCAGCTAAGATATGCAGGTCGTTGCTCAGCTAATCCCGCTCTCACGCTGCATTCTCCCCTTATCATGTCCTTCTCAGCTCCCTCTCCTCGCTCCCGTGCGCCCCTCTCCCCACTTCTCCCTGCCACCCCCCCTCTGCCCGCGTGCATCAGCGACCCAGCAGCTGCTGGAGCCAAACGCGCCTTTGGCTGCTGGAGCCAAACGCGCCTTTGGCTGCTGGAGCCAAACGCGCCTCCAGTGGCTGCTTGAGTACAACGCAGTGCTGGCGTGCATCTGCGACATGCCGTGCATCTGCTGCATAGCGTGCATCTGCTACATGCCGTGCATCTGCTACATGGCGTGGTCTACTCACTTCTACCCACTCATTCCCTGCTCGCCCCCTCCTACCTTTCTCCCCCCTCGCTCCCCCACCTTCCGTCCACCCCCATGGTGCAGTGGCTGCTGGAGTACAACGCAGCGCTCGCCTGCATCTGCTTCGTGGTCTTACCTACTTCTACTCTCCCCCTGCTCGCCTTACCCCCACTCCTCTCCCCCTCCCTTCCTCTGCCAGTGGCTGCTGGAGTACAACGCAGCGCTGGCGTGCATCTGCTACATGGCCTTCCTGGGCTTCATCGACGATGCTGTCCCTGCCCTTCCCCCCGCTCCCCACCATGCTCTCCCTACCACCTCTCCCTCACCCCTCAGTGGCTGCTCGAGTACAACGCGGCGCTGGCGTGCATCTGCTACATGGCCTTCCTGGGCTTCATCGACGATGTGCTCGACATCCCCTGGCGCGTGTGAGTGCTGCCAACTGCTGCTGCCAACTGCTGCTGGGGGTGCTGCTGGGGGGGTGCTGCTGGGGGTGCTGCTTGGGGGAAATGGATCAAATCAAGGGCACGTTTGGGCTCGGGAAGATGGGCAGGGGAGGATGGGCAGGGGAGGATGGTCATGGGAGGATGGGCATGGGAGGATGGGCTTGGGCAGATGGGCAGGGGACGATGGGCAGGGGAGGATGGGCAGGGGCAGATGGGCAGGAGGGGGATGAGATGAGGTAACTTTCGGGGCCCTTTTCCCCTCCCCTCCCACGTCTCCTAACGTCCTTAGCCATTGAGACGCCTCACAAGGTCTCCCGCCATCCCGCATGCTTCATGTCATTCTGTACCTCGTCTCGTCCTTTACGGCACGGCGTCTCCGTAAAAGAAGAGTGTTTTTGAGACGTCTCACAAGCACTCGTCTTTCACGTGGCTACCTCGTCCCTTACCGCACTGCCTCTCCTATCCTCTTTGCTTGCCCTCGCCGCACCGCCATTGCCACCCCCAAGCCACGTGGTTGCTCCCTCCCAAGCCACGTGGTTGCTCCCTCCCAAGCCACGTGGTTGTCTCTCTCCTTCCCCCCCTTCTCCCCCGCAGCAAGCTCATTCTCCCCGCAATCGCCGCGCTGTCTCTCCTCATGGCCTACTCCAGCCACACCACCATCATCATACTGTTTCCTGCCCCATCCCACCCCTTCCCACCCCTTTCCCGCCCCTTCCCGCCCCTTCCTGCCCCTTCCCCTTCCTGCCCCTTGCCGTCCCTTCCTGCCCCTTCCCGCCCCTTCCTGCCCCTTTCAGCCCCTTCCCGCCCCTTCCCGCCCCTTCCCGCCCCTTCCCGCCCCTTCCCGCCCCTTTTCGCCCCTTCCCGCCCCTTCCCGCCCCTTCCCGCCTTCTTTCCCGCCCCCCCCTCCTTCTCCTCTCCTCTGCAGGAAACTCATTCTCCCTTCCATCACGGCCCTCCCTCTCCTCATGGCCTATTCAGGCCACACCACCATCGTCATCCCCAAGCCATGCCATGTGCTCGTTCGTCCCTTCCAAGTTCCAATCTCTTGCCCCGTGCACGTGCTTCTCCCTCCCTCCCTGCCCCCTTCTCCCTCCCTGCCCCCTTCTCCCTCCCTGCCCCCTTCTCCCCTGCAGCAAGCTCGTTCTCCCGTCTATAGCGGCCCTGCCTCTGCTGATGGCCTATTCAGGCCACACCACCATCGTCATCCCGAAGCCGCTGCGGCCGCTGGTGGCAGGGCTGGCAGGCGAGGAGGTGGCGGTGTGGGACTTGGGCGTGCTGTACAAGGTCTACATGGGCATGCTCGTCGTCTTCTGCTCCAACTCCATCAACATTCTCGCGGGAGTGAACGGGCTGGAAGCTGGGCAGACTGCTGTGATCGCTGCTGCGGTGAGTGTGGCGTGAACGTGCTTCGCTAGGGCTGATGCACCTGGGGAAGGGGGGATGTGGATTGGGGGAAGGGGGGATGTGGAATGGGGGAAGGGGGGATGTGGAATGGGGGGAGGGGGGGTGTGGAATGGAGGGAGGTGGCAGTGTGGGACCTAGGCGTGCTGTACGTGGTCTACATGGCCATGCTATGCTCGTGGTGTTCTGCTCCAACTCCATTGATATCCTGGCGGGGGGGAGTGAATGGTTAGGAGGCCGGCCAGACTGCAGTGATCGTTGCTGCGGTAAGATTGAAAGAAAGAGAATGTTAACTCATAGCTCCAAGGCTTTAAGGGGATCTCGGGGTGCTCTTTGTAGCGTACATGGGGTGCTCTACAAGGCGTACATGGGGTGCTCTATAAGGCGTACATGGTGTGCTCTATAAGGCGTACATGGGGTGCTCTATAAGGCGTACATGGGGTGTTCTATAAGGCGTACATGGGGTGCCTATAAGGCATACATGGGGTGCTCTATAAGGCGTAAATGGGGTGCTCTATGAGACGACTGCGAACCCCATCATTATGTTGTAAAGAGTACAGCTTTATCACAACATGCATTAGATTCGAGAGCAGCACAGACAGCTCAGAAATAGATCATGGTTTCCTCCACCCCACGCCACCCCTCTCTACCCCTGTTGCCCTTCTCAACCTGCTTCCTCCTTGCGACCCCCCCTTACCCGTCTCTCATACTCCTCCCTCTTATCCTCCCACCACGCATCCTGTCTCTGTCTCTTGCTCCCTACCTTCCCCCTCCCCAATCCCGTCCATTTCTTGCTCTCTTTCTTTCCCGCTCCCTCCCGCACCCATTCAGGTACTGCTGTGCTGTGCAGCATCTGGCAAGTTCAAATACGCCGCCAGGCATCAAGCTGCCACTCTCTCTTTGTTTTGAGAATTCTAAAAAAAAAGCTGCCACTCTCTCTTTGTTTTGAGAATTCTCAAAAATCAAGCTGCCAGCCACTCTCTCCCTCTCTCTCGTCTTCCTCTCCCCTCATTCACTGTCGCCCCTTCAACCCTCCCCCTTCACCCCTCCCCCTCCCTCCCTCTCAGGTGCTGCTGTTCAACATATGGCAGATAGGCGAGCTGCCAGGCTTTAAGCTGCCACTGCAGCCGGACATGCAACAGGCGCACCTCTTCTCCATCTACCTCATCCTCCCTCTGCTTGCATGCACACTCGCTCTCCTCGTCTTCAACTGGTGAGTTTTCAACAGGTGTTACGCTGTGCGTCCAATCGGCTGAAAGCGGAACTCTTTTTCGTCCACTTTTCGCTGCAGGTGTTTCTCTGGAACTTTCTGGTGCAGGTGCTTTTGAGAATTCTCAAAAAACAGCTGCTACGAAAGGTAATCTCCATCCACCTTTACTTCTGAGACGTCTCAGCTCAGGTATTAGCTTGAATCTGCTTTTCTGTCGACTCAAAAGCAGGCTCAGCTTAGATATTAGCTTGAAACACTCCTCTTCTCCTCCCACCTCGACTTTTGAGACCTCTCAAGTATGAGCTTGAAGCATACCTCTTGAAATACTCTTATGTTTCTGAGGCGTCTCAAAAGCACACTTAATTCACGTTGTCCTCCCACCTCGACTTTTGAGACCTCTAAAATATCAGCTTGATTGAATTGAACCATACCTCTTCCCCCTGTGGTACCCCTCCTCACGTCTTCTGCCCTCTCCCCTCTCTCCCAGGTACCCCTCGCAGGTCTTTGTGGGAGACACATTCACCTACTTTGCTGGAATGACACTTGCTGTGGTCCCACCCCTCACGTCTCCTCTCTCCTCCCCCCTGATCTCTCTCCCCGCTCCCCTCATCTCTCTCTTTCCCAGGTATCCCTCGCAGGTCTTCGTGGGTGACACCTTCACCTACTTTGCTGGAATGACACTCGCTGTGGTCGGCATTCTAGGCCACTTCAGGTAACCGCTTATCAGTTCAGTAGCTTGTCCTTATCAATGTTTTCAACCCGTCGTAATCAATCCATTGATTATCTCAGTTCAATTCAGTCCATCAGTCTACTATCAATCCATATTGACCTCCTCTTCTTCTTGCTGCATTGCATTGTCTGCTATGACCTGTCCCCCTCTGCTTTGACCCTGTCCCCCTCTGCTGTCTCACACACTCAACCCTTGCCTTCCCCTTTTCTCTCTTCTTTTCCATCAGTGAGACTCTTCTGTTGCTCTTCCTCCCTCAGGTCATCAATTTCATCTACTCCCTTCCCCAGGTATGTTGTCACTTCTCAGAAATTTCAGAACAACTTAGTTCTCCTCTGAATGTCAACATGTCATCGCCTGCTCATGTTCTTCTAAGCAAACTTCGCGCTCATCCTTTCCCTTCCCCCATGCACCCCATCCCTCACAATCCCCCTCACCCCTCCCATTCCCCCTCGACCCTTTCCTCCTGCCCCTTGTCGTCCCGTCGCAGCTCTTCAAGTTCGTGCCGTGCCCAAGACATCGCCTGCCCAAGTGAGTACCGTGCCTTTGCGCTCCGTTTTGCGTGAAATGAGGCGTCTCGATACGGTGCCCCCTCTTGAGTCGACTCAAAAGACGTCTCGATACCGTGCTCCCTCCTCCCGTATTGTCTCGATACCGTGCCCCCTCCTCCGGTATTGTCTCTCTCTCCCTCTTCGCATGCTCCTTTGATTCATGTCTGGTTAGCTCCGTTGGTTTTCCCATTGTCCGCCACATACTAGTGTGCGGCGGAAAGTGCGCTTATGGGATGAGAGTGCCAGTGCTGCTCTTTTAGCATCGCATTGACTCTGCCAGTGCTGTAAGCAAGAAGGACTCGCATAAAAACGTTGTCTTTTGAGGCGCGTCAACCTGGTCAACCTCTTCCCCTCATCCACCCCTCTATATCACACATCTCCTCTCCCTCCCCTCCCCCTCCAATCTCTCTCCGCCTCATGCCTCCCTCACACCAGGTTTGACCCGGCCACGCACCGCCTGACGGGCAGCAACGATCTCAACCTGGTCAACCTCTTCCTGCGCCTCTTCGGCCCGTGCACAGAGGAGCACCTCTGCATCCGCCTGCTGCTCTTCCAGGTAGCCTCAGGAGGCCTTGAGGGTGGTTCATTTTGAAAGTGGGTGATGGTTCGGTGAGGGTGGATCTTCTTCCACGCTGCTCAGGCTCTTTGGCCCGTGCGCAGAGGAACACCTCTGCATCCGCCTGCTGCCCTTCCAGCTACTCCCTGCCCTTCCAGGTGCCGCGTGCTCTTTCAGCTGCCCCATGGGCAGCTCTAGCGAATGTTGCTGTCACAGGTAGCATCAGATGACTTGAGGGTGTATCTTCTTGAGAGTGGCTGTAGTAACTGCGCTGTGTCTGTGCTGGGTGTGTGTTGCTCATCCACGTTGGTCCATGCACAGAGCAGCCGCTCCACATTCGCCTGCTCTTTCTCGCGCTGTTTCTTTGCTGGATTGGCATGCGTCGCACTTGGATGGTCACGCCTCAGAAACATCTATTGCTCTGGATTGTTTCTGCTAGATGGTCTCATACTCATTCCTTCTCGACTCTCCGTCCTGTGTCACCCACTCACACTCCCTTTCACTCCTTTCTTACTCCAACTCCTCGCTCTCCCTCCCCACACTCCCTTCCGCATTCCTTCTAAGTCTGCGCTCTCAATCGCCCTTCTCACACTCTTCCCTCACAATTCCTCCTCACACTCCCTACTCAAACTACCTCCTCACAGTTTTTCCTCGCACTCTCACTTCACATCACTCAGTCAAGTCACATCTTCTTTTCACATCCTTCCTATCCTCATTCAATTGTTCTCTTATTCTCCCATTCTCCCTTCGAGGCCTACTTGGCCTATTATGCGTTATGCCCATCCTCATCCCTTGGGGTTGATTCAGATTGTCTGTATTTTCCATAGAAATTCCCTGCATTTTCCGTAGAGATTACCACTACAGCCTTACACAGCGCACACACCTTTCCTTCTCTCCTCATGCTCTCCTCTTAGCCCTGCTCTCTGCTCATTCTCCTGTCGTTGCATCCTCTCGTATCTTCCAGGTCCCTCTGCTCTCCTCTCGTATCTTCCAGGTCCCTCTGCTCTCCTCTGCTTCGCAGTACACACCCCCTTCGTGTTTGCTCCCCTTTTCCCTCTCCCACCCGTCGCTCACCTTTCTCGCCGCGCATTCTCCTGCCGTTGCAGCCTCTCTTTACTTTCTTTCCCTCTTGTCCGATGCAGGTACTCTCCTCTCTCCTCTCCTTTGCATTATACACCCCCTTCGCTTTCCTTCCCCTCTTCTTCTTCCCACACGTCTCTCTCCCCCTCTCCTGCCTTTGCTTCCCCCCCCCCCCCCCTTCGTCCCATGCAGGTACTCTCTGCTCTCCTTTGCTTCTCTGCCCGCCTTGTCCTTCAAGGGTGGTACAAATGAGGCAGTGCACTCAAACTACACCACGTTGTGATCTGTTATTATGTAAGTCAGACTTTGACGACACAACGATGCTATTAAATGGGATCAAGGGAGTCAGACGTTTGATTGCAAACTAAAACCTCTCAAGTGTGAAGTTGCAGCAATCTGTGATTTACTAATATGAGAGCTGTACGGAAGTAGGGTGTTTTAGTGCTTGAGTGAAGGCATGCCTCCTGTTACTCTCGCTGCTATATTTTTCACTTGTTTTTGTTATATTAACTTCATTACAAGATTATTCCCCTCTCTGCTGCTCCCCGCCCCACACATACACCACACCCTGATCCCCCGCTCAACCCACCATTAACCAGCACCTACCAGTAACACAGCATGCCACAGCTCCCAGCGCCGTGTGCTTGAAGCATCTACCGTCATCACCCGGATATAAGACAGTGTTGAATAGTAGACAGGGGTTGTCTATTATACGGGTGTCTCTTATAAACAGGCTAGCCTCATTATAAGACACATTTTTGTGTGTACGAGATAAGACATATATGTCTTATAATCGAAACTTCAATATATTATAGCGAAAGTTGAAATACCGCGTACATTTTTACCCTTGCGAAGCGCGAATTCTGCCACGTGCTGACCCAGGACCTACCAAATTTGCCTCTGCAGGTGTTCTCCATGACGTGGCGTCCCGGGCAGTGGTTGCCGAAGTGGCACCCTCGCAACATCCACACTCATTATGAGAAACTCTATTTCAAGAAGTAAGGAAAATATTTCTATTTTTAAAAGTTTCCATTTATAAGACTTATAAGACACCCTAAACCGTCCCAAATACAAGATAACCCAAGCATTTTTGCCCGTGTACGAGATAAGACATATATGTCTTATATCCGGGCGATGACGGTACACCGTTACAGCTCAACACGCTTCTGCTGCTCCACACGCTAATACCCCGTGCAGACATTCCATCATTGCTCGAAACAGGGTCCGCCGCATTGTAAGAGCTGACCTGACAATCTCAGGTAGAAGCTGCATTGGTGAAGGGAGTGCCGACTCTGATACCAAGTGATTGTAGCGAGGTAATGAGGATTACACTAAGTTGTCGAACGAGTACATGAGCGAAGCCATAAGCCAATAAACGAAACATGCAAATTGTAACGTGGTGCTTGCGAGCTAGCTCATGCGATGTTGGCAGCAAGGTTCGGGCTAGTCCCGAAGCGTAGGCCGACTCGGGCCATGCCTGCGATGCATGGTTTGGCAAATGGTAAGGGTCCATTAGCAGTAATGGGCAAGCAAAGAATGTGTTGGAAACAAGTGATTTACACGCCTCAGTCGTGTCGAAACACTAAGTCGTAAACGAGGCGAAACACAACGGAGCATCAACGAGTCAACCCTCGGAGATTGAACAACTGCTGGAGGTTACGCGAAAGTCAAAGGTCAGCGACCTTTGACCTCACGACAAGTACAGCGCGACAGCAAGGACAAACAACTGACTCGTTATTGATCAGTTGCCAAAGTCATCACTGTATCGAACCGCAACAGCAACAGTAAAACCGTTATTAGCGAACTGTATCTCTTCATATTCCTTGTACTATTATAAAACTATGTATCCCCTTGTTTTAATCAATCTACTTTGCCCTCACATACCAGCGCAAGGTGGTTCAAGTACTTCATTAAAAGGCTTCCGCTATTATATCCAGAGTTTAGCCTTGCAAAGATCCTAAGAGTTTTTCTCAGCCCAACATGGTATGAGAGCTATCAGGGCAAACTCAACTACTATCAAGACACCTACAACATCAGAAGACATGGCAACACAGAAGGAGAGGAGTTCCTCTAATGGTTCTCCCGGCACTACTCCTACTCCACCTCCTGTCTCTGGCCTACAGATAGAGGAGGGTACGGCAACGAGACCAACAGCAGGGTCCACCGAAACTCCCGCAAATCAACCTGCAGGCTTCGACCCAAGCATGATGGAGAAATTTTTCTCCTTCATGTCCTTCTACGAACAACACCAGTAAACGGCACCTGCGCAATCAAACAACAGCAACAACAACAACGACATGACACCCATGAGTCTCGATGGCTCATCATACGCGCGCGGAAATCAACAGCAACAGCCTACCTTTGCTCCGTACGAGCCCCAGCGCGGCTCCATCAGCTTCATGCCGCATCAGCAGCCTTCACCTGGACAAGAGAAGACACTGGATGCACTTCAAGTTCAGTTGCAGTTCGCGCACATCCTAAAACTACAGACGTCAAGGCCATTCGACGGAAAGGATTTCTTTACCTGGTCATTTGAGTTCGAGCTGATGATGGAAGGCGCGCAGATTCTTGGCTTCTTCGACGGGTCCCTACCATACCCATCACACGGAACACAATACGACAAGCAGCAGTACACGTATCAGTCAATGATGGCATACACAATTATGCTGAGGAACATAACTCTAAACCAACAGCATAACATTCGGTCTTACTGGGGATACGCCAAATCCGCCGAGCTCGAGTACACTCACTTGAAGAACCTGTATCAAGCAACAGACAGCGTCGATCAGAGTCGGTTAATGGTGCAGCTCACAACAGTGGAAATGAAACCGGGCGAAAAGGGGATGGCGTATGTCAGCCGCTGTCGCAAACTGCGCGACAAACTCCTTTGATGCGGAGGGACAATATCAGAAGACGCCTTCGTCACAGTCGTCGGCGATCTTGGTCCTCACTTGCGCTCCACTCGCGCCATACTCCGAGCTCACGGAAAAATCTCCGAAGCGGCACTCTGCGCCGAAATACACGCCGAACAATAAGACATGGACCTGCACGAGGAGAAGCACAGGAAGAAGACATCAGTACCCGAATTTGCCTTTCACACCCAACGGCGCTTCAACAACACCAACCGATAGAGCAAGCAACAACAGCAACAGCACGTACCGCCGTTCTGTCATCTCTGCAAAACATCCGGGCACCCTCGCACACACTCCCCAAATCGACAGCAGTCCACTCCAACGCAGCGGCAGCTTCGACCTTCAAGCAGCCAAGTCGCCTCAACGCAAGCAAATCCCACCACTCAACTACAAGCATCAACAACATCGGCGACACAGCCTGCACAAGGGTCAAGAAACATCGTCAGCGCATGGCAAAGATAACCGATTCCTGCATCACTGAATCACCACCACACTACTCACCGGAAGAACTGCTCGACGAGTGTACCCCTCGCAGCGAGACACTGGAGCCGAACCCGACGTACGCAGCCATCGCCCAGAGCGAGCCGTCCGGGAAAGACACCTGGTTCTTGGACAGTTGCTGCGGACAGCATATGTGCTCCTCGAGTCGCTTCGTTCAACGAGAATACCAGCTTCAACGCAAAGTCGTCATCAACATCGCCAACAACCAGAACCTGCGCACACGACGACAAGGAGTGGCTCAACTTCAGTCACGGGAAACCAATGTTATACTACAAATGTCCAAGGTTTTAATCGCAGATGGACTCGGTTACAACTTACTGAGTGTCAGCCAGCTGATGGCAAAGGGCATTCACCTCGACGAAGACAGCACCACCCAGGAATTCAAGTTGTACCACGGGAAAGGCAGACTCTATATCGGAAAGGCAGTGCTGAAGAACAACGTCTTCGTCCTCGACTTCGTTCCAGATCTCGGCACCGCCGACAGCGATGCCATCGTCAACTTCACCACTTGGACACACCCGCCAGATCTTGATCCCGTTTCAGTCCTGGAGGCTTTTGGTATTCGGAAACCATACCTGAGGCAGAACGAACAAGAGCATTAGCAACGATTCAACACTCGGCAGCAGCAGAGACAACATCGGCAGTAGCAGAGACAACATCGGCAGCAGCAGAGACTGTCAACAGGAGTTGTGTGTTGGCCCCGTCCTTGCTTGGGCGGAGCCGACCTCGTAGTCAGGTGTACGGGGGAGATGCAGTGGGCACGGGGGCCACTGCAAGGGCGTGGTGTTGGGAGGCGCCTGGCTGGAGGGCGCCGAGCAGGTGGACGCCGTCCTTGGCGTCTGGACGGCGTCCTGGGCGTCTGCTCGGCGTCCTGGGCGCCTGGGCACCAACTGGAGCCTCTGCTCGGCGTCCTGGGAGGTGGGACGCCGACCTGGGGGTCTGCTCGGCGTCCCGGGCGCCTGGACGCCGACTTGGGCGCCTGGACGGCGTCCTGGGCGAGTGGACGCCGACCTGGGCGCCAGGACGCCGACGTGGGACGCCGGGATTGATGTAGCCGGCGTCCGACTGGGCTGGACGACCAGGCGGGGTTGCCCGGTCGACCAGGATACCCGGGCGACGTGTGCGACTGTCGCCGGGGGGAAGTTTCTGCGAGGCCGACCTCGGGGGTGTTATCCCGAGGTCGACGTGGCTGGGCACCGTCACGGGCGGGAATGTCTGCGCTGGGCACGTGACGAGGAGTTGGACGCCAACCAGCCGCGCACACCTGCGAAGCAGGTGCACCGTTGTCCTGCGGGTGCAACGCTGTGCAGCCGACTTGCTGCAGCGTTGGCACACCGTGGACTTGCAACGTTGGCGCGCCGCATCTCTGCAGCGCTGGAGCGGTGCGAGCTTTGCTGCGTTGGAACGTGATCGACCGTGCTGCGCTGGAGGTCGACCAGCAGTCTAGCTAGCTCTGATGTAGTGATGCATGCCAATGTTGTTGCTATCATTCTGAACCTTTGTTGTGATGTTTTCCTAGTGGACATCTTGCCAATAATCCCCTGAACTAGCAAGTAGTGTGCGCACAAGGAAACGACTAAGGAACGAACGCAGAGCTACCTCCCACGCATGTGCCTTCCCCGTAGTCAAGCTCCCGTTGCTAGAGTTATCTCCGCATGGTGCGGTGAGCGTGGAGCGAACACCCAACGTAGTTCAGTCTAGCCGACTTTGAAATTCCCGATTGTGTTTGTAGGCCGGCGGCTGTGCGCTATTCACCATGGTAGGAGCCGTGGGTGACGCCGGGGTGGCGGACACCCTGGAGGCACGGCTGGAGAACGCGAGGAGGAAGCACGAGGCCAA